CTGTTGTGCTGGTTTTCCTGACGTGGCGAGGACGCTGTGCAGACTGTGACCCTCTCTCTGTGCTATATTTACCCGTGTGGCCGCTGGCAGACAGTGATTATACGCGTGGAGAAGGGTTGTATTGGTGAGATGGATTTTTCTGGTCGGGGTCCAGTGGCTTTTCGCAGTTTTAGCATTGACCTCCGCGCTTTTACCAGCTCATAGATTAGGTGCAGTGTGTCTTGAAATTGCTTGGCGACTGAAGCTTAACACACTAGATGCATCCATCCAAGCATGTCATGGGGAAGGCTCGGTGATAAATCTGCCTGGCTCTCCAGACGGTCCCGGGCATCCCGCTGGGCCACTGACATCTTCTTCTGAAACGAGGCTGGCTGTGCTCACAGATCGGGTTCACCATATTAAAGAGACAGTTCAGCAAAAAAGACTGTTTTTCTAGTTTCACTGCTCGTCTCAAATGTAGTCAATCAGCCAAGACGTGTTGGGCGTCTGAAAATTATAGAGTCATTCCATCAAATGTGCATAACTCAGTGTGTGAGATGTAAACAGAGTGATTCAGAGTGGTTTGGTGTGAAATGGTCTTTACAGTGGTGGTGATAGGAACCAGGGGTCGCCATGACTACAACACAAATATAGACACTTTATTTACTATCCAGAACCACCAGTGAACCTACACGAGTCTTCTGAGTTTATATGGAATGTTGATGATGAAAATAGTGGAAAATCTGAAATAATAAGTTTTCTTTGGGGACTATTTTGCCTCACAGCGCCCTGCATGTATCCCTCCACCATGAATGGAGTTTAAGTTCTCTAAACTATCATAAAACAGTGTCTCAGTCATCAGGCAGTGAATTCATAACCATTTCATGTAGGAACTTTCTGTGAGGGAGCTTTTAGAGGTGGACGTCTGGTTCCTATCACCACCACTGTGAACAGTTCTGACTCAGTAAGTTTATCTAGAACAGAGCGTTTCACACCAAACCACTCTGAACCGCTCTGAACCGCTCTGAGCTGCTCTGTTTACATCTTAACCAGTTAATTATGCAGGATAATCAGTGAAACTCTGCTTCAACAAATAACTCACAGTCATTGAGCTAGCACCATGCTAATTGGTCGATTTAAGAAACCACATGTGCAGATTTAGTTGTGTAAATTTGATTTTTCTATCGTTTCTCCCCACATTTTACCGCCACGGCCTGCTGTGGTTATTCCCTTAATCAGTTCACCTGCATTTCCTCACTAATTCATCTCCGGTTCTCTTAGAGGTTCTGCTATGTAATTTGCACATATTACACAACACTGAACAATAATACATGTTTCCAGTTATTATTTCTCACTTTTACACATCTGTACTCTAACACACATCTGCATTTGGGTTCCTTTTTCGCCAGTGGCACTTTTAAGAAATCAAGAATTTCATTTTGTACATAGAAGAGTTTTAAGGTGGCAATTCAGCTGCATCAATTTAGAGTTGATTACAAAAGATTATAGTAATATTAATGTTGGTGTTAATATCACACAAAACATCAGTACAAAGTGGCGTGTTGTCATTATATGTGTGAAGTTTTCTCTCTGCTGAAAAGAATAACTCACATATATCCACGTCTGCATGCTAATAAGCATTAGCATCCATGTACATGAGTGCCAGTGATGGCAGACTGAGGCTAATGCACATATGTGCCTGCTAATTAGCATTAGCATCCATATATGTGTGCAGAGGATTGCAGATTTATGCTGGTGCACATGTACATGCTAATTAGCATTAGCATCCTTGTGTAGGTGATGGCTTTTGATTGCTATTTAGCATTAATGTGCATGTAAACCTGGGATTGCAGACATATGCATATGCTAATTATCGTTAGCATCCATGTGCACATAAAGCAGGGATGGCAGGCTCATGCACATGCACACAACTGTATAGCTTGTTAGCATTAGCATCCGTGTGCACGTGTGCAAGTGAATGCAGACTTTTGCACATGCTAATTGTCATTAGCCTCCATGTGCATGTAAACCAGAGATGGCAGATTTATGCACATGCACATTTTCATGCTAATCAGCATTAGCATCCATGTGCAAGTGATGACTTTTGATTGCTAATTAGCGTTAGCATCCACGTGCATGTGTGCCAGTGGTGGCAGACTCATGCACATAGACGCTAACGCTAATCACTTGGAATACAAACCTGCATAAATGCTTGCAGTGTTTGCATGCACTGCGTAATGAGTTGCGTGTAAACATGCGCATGTGCAGGTCTGGCTGAGCTGCTTTTCTGACCCGCCGCTGATCAGAATGCAGCCCAGCAGATACGTGTGATTAAAGGAGAGGCACATAAATCCACCCCCACCCCCTCCACACACACTCCGCCGCCGTGTCACGCATACACACTCATCTGGCCTGGCTCTCCGGGAGTCTGCGGAGATTCGGCACAGATGTGCGAGCGTCGTCTTGTAAACAACAACAAAAACAACAACAACCCACAGCAGCCGGCCTGCTCTGCCAGTGAGTATTTACAAAGGGCTTTTTTGGTCCTTTAGCCTGAGGAAATAGGTCTCACTCACAATGTGCCCCTGCTTGTGCGTGAGCGCCTGCATTTAAAGCTACAGTTCACCAAAAGTCACTTTTGCACAAAAGTGCGCAGCGTGACCAAACACAGCTCTTCAGCCCAGGTTTACAGATAACAGTAGGGGGATCAAACTCAAATCACCTGGGGGGCTGCTAGACAGGTGGTCTTCCCCAAGGCAGGGAGGGATTTGGGGGGGTTTGTCATGTATATAATGTTTTATCATGTCTGGATTTTAATTACATAACATGCACAAATTTAAGCACTGTTTATTAGTAAAACCACAACACCTACACTCTCATGAGGGTTCTTGGAGGGTTCTTTAGTAAAGACAGTGATATATAGAACCAGGAGCACTCAAAGAACCCTTCGCATGCTTAAAGAGTTCTCTGCATGGTGAAATCGTTCGTGGAGAATGTGTTGTATATGGTTCTATATATTTTCAAAAAGGTTCTACAAAGCACCAAAGAGGGTTCTTCTACTGTTATGATGTCAAGCTTGTACCAATAGCAGAACCCTTTTTGGTGCTATATGGAACATAGGACAAACAAAAATTATACACACATTCTCCATCAGTCCGAAGAACGATTTCACCATACAGAGAACCATTTAAGCATGCAAATGGTTCTTTGAGTGCTTTTGGTTCTATATAGAACTATTGTCTTACTAAAGAACTCTTGTAGGAGCATCTTTATAAGGAGGTACTAATATTAATGATAATAATATAT